GGAATTAAAAGGCCGCTCTTTTTGGAAGAAAAATTCAAGCCTTGCATTAGTACTCACGATGCGAAACATCTAGGGAGGCTGTTTGAAACTATGAAAGAAACAACATAGTGTTTTCTTTTCTTTCGCGTCTTATCTCACAACATGAAAGAACTTTTGGGTACTGCTTTTCATGGTACACCTTCAAGTATCAGCAAAGAAATCAGTCAAAATCATTCCGTTAAATACAACTTTGCGGTTTCGGTGAAACGTAGTGATAGCAAAAAGAGGAAGATGATCATCCAATGTGTTCATGGTGGCCAGTATCGCAACACGCACAACGTAACGCAGGCAACTAGAAGACGAAAGAGAGATACCAACAAAACTGGCTGCCCTTGGATAATGGTTCTCAAGTTAACGCGTCAAGATGCAACGGACCTTAAACATCCGTCGTTGCAAGGCACATGGAAAGTTACGCGCGTGGGCGATATGGATGAACATAAGCATAACGACAACGACGACATCAAACCACTTGGATATTATCATGTGCATCGTCAACCAACTCTCCACATCGAGCAGCAAATCAAAAACATGACTGAACATGCAATCAGACCTTCAAAGATCCGGCAGAAGATACGGGTTGATGACGACGATATGATAATGACCATGCGTGATATATACAATTTCAGAGCGAAGATATTCAAGGAGGATAAGAATGGCGAGTTCACAAAATTGATGAAGCTGCTAATGACCGAAGGCTTTGCCACGATGTACAAGGTGTCAGATGAGCGACTGGATGCTATTTTCTTCTCTCACGAATATGGTCAGGAGCAAGCACGCAAATTTCCAGAGATTGCAATACTCGATGCGACGTATAAAACAACAACAACCAAAATGCCATTGATTAACATCGTCGGTGTCAGCAATCTTGGTGGCAGAAGATTGCGTGTAATATTTGCATCTGCATTCGTTTCCAATGAGAAGTATGAGTCATACGAATGGGTAATGAAGATGGCTCGAAAGGTGCTGTGGCCTGATGGTGACATTGGAATGTTTATAACCGACAATGAAGCAGCCCTCGTGAAGGCGATTAGCAATGTATTTCCTGATTCAAAGCACATGCTTTGTGCATGGCATATTGAGCAGCATCTACGCACCAACCTTGGGAATTGCTTCCCTCCAAAATGTGATGAAATCAAAGAAGTCAACAAGGTTCTTAAGAGCATGCTCTATGGTAGTGAGACACAAGATGATTTCAACAAATCAGTGGCGGCATATCGGTATTTGATTGGAAAAGCTGCAGTCGCATTTGCTAAGGACAACCTAAAAGACTCTGAATCCCAGCAAGCAAAAACATCTAAAAATGGGAAGTTGGATCAACCGAAAGGTTCTAGTGATGGGATGGATGACCAAGGTCAAAACGAAGAGGTGATAGAGGAAACAGAAGATGGACAAGACCAAGATCAAGGCCGAGGTCAACCTGCTGAGAGCCGAAATTGTGAAAGCACCCCTGATAACGGTGTAAAGGATGTGGATGATGGCAAAGGTTACGAGGAATTGTCACGACTTGCCAATAAGAAAAAGGAAAAGATGACCAACTACTTTGAAAGGTATGATCAATACAGAGATGGCTTTTTCTTTATTTAACATCCACATAGCTATCTTGAATACAAAGAGAAGTGGGGTGCATGCTATGCTATCAAGGAATTCAACCTCGGCATGCGAGCAAGCTCTATAGCAGAAGGCCAACATTGGCGCATCAAAAATGAGCTACAGACTTCAGGAAGCCTAATAAGAACCGTCAAAGCTATCAACAGGGTGATTCGTGATAGTGTAAGTATTGTTTAGGGAAGAGCCAACAATGTATTGTGTGAATTGATCCGATGATGTATCATGATCATAGATGCATGATGATAGAATGCTCGCAGCTAAGGAAACACTTGCAAGGCCGATTCATGATAAGGAGGTGATGGCTGCGATGGGCGACCTTTACAGCTCCATAAGCAAATTTGCTTTGGATCGTTTAAGAGAAGAACTTGAATACGCAGCAAAAGGTTCATACAACAGTGATGATAACAATGAATGTTATTGCAAAGCACGATACAACTATGGGCTGCCATGTCGTCACATCTTGGTTTTACGCAAAGGAGTGTATCATGTTGACTTATCTTGGGTTCACAAACGATGGTGTTTGAACAACTTTACAGGTTAGTATGCTACTCTATTCAACAAATTACCGCACATCAATGACCATGTCGATAGAAAATCAGCAAGCTAATATTGGAACGAAGAGCTGTGCCTATACTGGTAAAGTATCCGAAGCCGTTATCAATCAACAACGAGACATACTGTACCAGAGGGTTCAAGAAAAACTCGATAGCATGGACAATGATCAACAAAAGCATGACTTTTTTGATTCTATGGTGGACGAGATCGAATCTTTCGTGCCAAAAGACTACACTGAAATTGAAATTCCAAGATTAGTATCAACGAAAGGACGACCAAAGAACACAAAAAACAGCCGCTTGCCATCAAGCTTTGAGATCAAAGATAAGGAAGCCAAACAATCTAAGCGCAAAAGGAAATCTGGCGATGACGATGAAGACCATCATTGTAAGAATGAGTTGAATGATGATGAGTGCTTCGAATTTCCTCTGCCACTCAATGGGAAGGATCTAGAATTTGATTTCCTTGAAAAAAAAGGTAGGATACACACTTACAATTATTTTGAGGTTTGCCATTAATGCTAGGTAGAAAACATAAAGCGAATGATGGGAAGATGAGAAAGACGTATGACATATTTGTCCACCCTTCTATACCTGAGGAAGTCGTTCTCAATACAGTCCCGATCAGATCCGATGGTTGGTGTGGGTTCAGAACAATCGCTCACCATGTAAAAGGCAATCAAGACGCCTATATGGATGTCAAGCGAGACATGCTAGCTTATTTACGTGAAAACAAGCCTATGTATCATGAACGCTATGTCAACTTGCGTGATTGCTTGGATGATATGGAAAAGATTCTGCGATATGGTATCGACAACCCGGAAGATTCTACATGCTGGTGTCCAAGTCAATATTGGTTTAAGACACCAGAGTTTTCGCAACTTGCAGCTGATACCTTTGGTCGACCTGTTGCAATATATCCCGATAATGATAGAAAGAAGCCGGATAGCGACGAATATGCTTTCAAACCATTACTTCATGTTCCTTTTAATGGGCCCAAGAAAGGACAAACGCGCCCGATTCTTATGCAACATGTTAATAATTGCCACTGGTCGACGATGGATCTCAAACGTGGTGGTGCCACAATGACATGGCGTATCCTTCACCAATTATGCATTCAAGCACACAAGACCAAAGGGAAAGATGCACGTCATTTGCGTAAAATTGTGTGGCGACCATTTCTCACAATCGACAAGGGGTGTGATGAGAATGAAAATGAAGAAAAAGACGTGACATTTGTAATAGTGGATGGATGATAGCACCATCCTCTTTCTTTATTTGAATAAAGCCGAAATGGTTAAATCATTATCAATGACTACAAGATTACGGTGATTTCATTGGTTGATATGAGTGGCAGACTTTGCTTACGATGCGCTTGTGTTAAAGATAGCTCTTTGTTGACGTCTGTTGCATATGCCTGTGTGCTATTAATACAAGGGGGTGTCCCAAAGACATATAGAGTAAGAGAGGGAGGTGTCCATATCAAAACCCCAACCAAAATTACTTCACCCTCCACCATTTTTATTTCCCAACCCACCAACATTACGCGCCCGCCAATCAAAATTATTCCTCCACCCGCCATCTTTATTTCACTCGCCGCCATCGTTCTTCTGCCGGCCCACCAACATTGGGACACCCGCCAACCAAAATTACTTCTCCACCCACCATCTTTAACACAACCACCCACCAACATTATCTTGTCACACTCCAAAATAAAAGTGCTTGTTCACCAACATTACTTTGCCAATGCCCAACAATAAATCTCTTGATCACCAAAATTCTCCTTTCATGTTCAACTTTCACCGCAATCTACTGTAAGCAAAAGCGTGCTCAAACCATTTGGGATTTCACAAGCAAATTTCCTGATAGTTTGACTGTTGAAAGGTTTGTTTACTTGTTATTTGGGCAATAAAAGTAGTCAAGTATTAATCTCTATGCAGATGGTTATACGATGAAGGGATTTACTGCAAGTCGATGAAGTGCAAGGCTGGAATTGACATGAGGTTGATTGAAGTCAAGAAAGATGGACAACCAAACCTCACATGGAAGTGCACCCATCGCCCATCTGAAAGCTGCAACCGTCAAAAGAAGTCTATTCGTGAAGGAAGCTTTTTCTCGGGGCTCAAGATCGGCATGCATCAAGTTCTTGGAATTGTGTGGCTCTACCTTTACAAGTTGGAATTCCAGGCTATTCAAGACCTAACAGGTGTATCTGCACCAACCATTCGTGCCGTTGTGCGCTTGTTATATCGTTTGATGAATGCCTGAAATGCGCACAAATGAAATGATAAAAGATGATAGTAAGAAGAGGCGAGAGAATACAGTGAGACTCAATAATGGGTTGAATTCTTTATTTCAATTGATTGAGTGCGCTTATTTATAGCTTTGATGGATGATGGCGTAAGGGATTGATATTTGGGTTGTTGTTGATGTGGCTTCCTGATTCAGGATATGGATGAGTTGGCATACGCAGTGATGATGGGACCCGTGCGTGATTGGCACAAATGGTTGATTTGTGTAAGTCATGCGTGTAGTGGCAATAAGAAGCTCTCTTCAACCGTTGTATAATAAAGAGTGAACGGTGGTATCGGTTCACGACAATGCCGACATCAAAGACGAAGATGTATCTGTTGGTAGGTGACAATCGCTTGTATGATCGTATGTGTAATCATGTATTGAACATAATGTTTGTTATAGGTAGCATTGACGAAGATGGCAACTGCATCATTGTCGAAGTGGATGAATCCAAGTTTGGGAAGCGTAAAAGCCACAAAGGCCATCGTGGTGAAGGTGTGTGGGTTGTTGGCGGTGTCGAGCGTACTCCTGAACGCAAGATTTTTGTGACAACCGTCGAAGATCGCAAGAAGGATACTTTGCACCTCATCTTGAGTAATTACATCAAAGAAGGTAGCGAAATTCGAACAGACTGTTGGAAGGGGTACAATGGTCTCGCACGTATTCTTGGCAAACGCTACGCCATGAGACTGTCAACCACGCCAAGGAGTTCAAGACTGCAGCTGGTGTTCATACAAATACCATCGAAGGTACGTAAAGTACTACATAAAATCCTGATCTTGTTGTTATATGCTAATAATTCGTCATATGATTTAGGAACCTGGAATGGCATCAAGTCCATTATTAAGGCCCGCCACAGAACAGCTCCGATCATGAATTATCGTCTTGCCGAGTTCATTTTCCGTCGCAAGCATGCTGGGGACTTCTGGGGTGGCATTATCAAGGCATTAAAAGAAGTATCCTTTGACAAGGTTACTTCTTCGGATGATATAGATGAAGAATTCATCTATACAGAGGTCAAACGGGAACGTAGCGATTTGGATCACGATGATTCGGAGTTCAATGGTAAGTGAATGGACTTGAAAATCTATAATGATTAGGTAAGTCAATGATTAGATAATACGCAATGGGAAACCGATACCGAGGATGATGATGACACATCAGGTGAATACACAGCTGACTCTCATAGAAAACGCCCTAGAGGCCAATGAACGAAGTCCATAGACATTTATTTGTTCTACTAAGTACATTGCAGTCACGTTAGAAGCAGTAATGGAATAGATTAAAAGTTGTTGCATATATGATTGATTAAAAAAGAAAGGACCATAGCTCGTAATCTAGCGGTCGTCGGAGTTTCGGGGTTGCACCAGCGTATTTGGAGCACCTCGAAGAACATAGTAGGTAATCATAGCCTCGTTACGGCAACATTTTTCCCCACTTGGCAGAAGCAGGCTCTCGACTTAGTAAAAATCCACCCAATTTGGGTAGTTTTTCCCTCATAACACGGGCGCATTTGATTCGATTAAGTTCGGATCTTTTTTCCCAGATTTAGTATTGCAGCGTCCATATGTGAACCAATTTTGCGGAACATCGGAGTATGTGTTTTACATCGTATGCCAATATGGTCAATTTAGTGAAAAGGAGACGTTTTTATTTCGGCGATTTCTTGCCAATCAGCTGTCCGAGATACACATGGTTACCAGCAACGAATTGTAGAGGTCCGAATGTATATATGGGTAAGGTGTTATGAAGAACTACCGACATTCACAAGTTTTTGCAGTGTGTAGAAATGTGGTCCCCTATCTTTTCATTCAACCATAACGACCTTCCGTGACATAATACAGGATTTCCCAAAAGAAGTGGAACATGAGGATAATGATTTCGTGGTTAAGGTGGTTGTTTTCGTGGGTGATGATTATTTGTTCGTGGCTAATGACAAGTGAGTTCGTGGGTGATGGTTTTTGGTTTCGTGGGTAGCGCTTTTGGTGACGTGGGTAGTGCCTTTTGAATTGGTGGGCGACGCTTTTGGTTTTGTGGGCACGGTTTTTTGTTTCGTAGAGGATGACTTTAATTTTCGCGCAGGATGGCTTTAATGTTCGTGGGTGGCGCTTTTGATTTCGTGGGTGACGATAAACGTTTCATACGCTGCATTGCTGGTCAACATTGCATAAGATTTGCTGATTGATGTACGCTGTTGCATAGAATGGTTTATGATCACCCACGAAATCAAAAGCGCCACACACGAACATTAAAGTCATCCTGCGCGAAAATCAATGGGTATCTTTTAACTCCCGCTACTAGATCTAGTAGAAACTTCACATTATTTTTGGGAGACGAGAAGTGATGTTTGGAAATTGAGGTCTTGATATCAAGTGCTTTGGCTTGTGGGCTT